CCCCCCCCCCCCCCCCCCCCCCCCCCCCCCCCCCCCCCCCCCCCAATGAGATAAAATGTACAAGTTTGGCCGCTTTTCTTCATTGCGGTGTGTCGTCAACAGCACTAAACGTTGCCGGCTCGGTATTCATCGCTCAAGAATGTGAAGAAAACAAGGTGTGGATGATGGCTCTGATGGAAGCCCATATGAAGGGGAAAAGCTCAGGGAAATAGCTGTAGAGCAGCGCGCAGATCATGACTAGGAGAAGAGGGATCTGGTAGAAAGAAGAATAGTTAGTTACTGACTTTGGATTCACGACAGAGAAATAATCGTCTCGACTTACCCAAATGAAGAAGAGGTTTCGATCATTGCTAATCTTCTTCAGCTTCTGTTCCCGGGCTCGCAAGAAGTTCTCTTGCTGTTCCTTGGTGATGGCATGCTTGCGTCCAATCTCGAGGATTGCAGGAGGCTGGAAGGTTGTGCTGCTCTCGACAGCCGGAGCCTTGCCTCTCATCACCAACTCCTCCTCGTCGTCTTCAAACTCCTCCTGTTGCAACATGGCCGCAGAAGCTGATGACTCCGCCTCGTCCTCGTATTGGAACATGGCCGCAGCAGTCGATGATTCTGGCTCCTCATAGCGGATGGAGCGTTTTAAATCCGCCTCTGCATCAGCGGCGGCCCGGGCCACGGATAGAACAGCCTTGGAATCCATATCCTTCGCGTCCGCATCCTTTGCTGGGTAGATTTCGTTGTAAGCGGGGGGTGCTGTTGTAGTGTTCATGTACGACGAGAGATCCCACCAGCGCCCGTCCGTCTTTGTGCCATCGTCGCTTGCGCTATCTGGGCGGCCACCGGGCATGGCGGGTATGGTGGGCATGGCGGGCATGGCAGCCATCAGATCTTGTACCTTTCGCAAAATGGGTGGGTTTGGAATATACGCGTTGTAGATGGGCAGATTCAGATTCATGTTCATGGGAGGGATGAATCTGCGGTTAAAGAAGGATATAGCTGCGCGCATGATTTGGCTTTCGTTGTCGTCAATGTATGTAAACACCGGAGGCTGCATGCCCAGCGGTGTCGCGGCCCTTTGCGGCCCAAAGGTTACAGGAACTGGACCAGCAACCGTAGAAGGAGGCAGCAGGCATACAAGCGAGGCCTCGCTCCAAAACGTAGTTGTAGTGGCCTTGTTGTCGCCAAACCAAATCTCCAGTCCCTGGTAAAAGCCAGCACCAAGCACGGTAACTTCCATGCCGCCGTTGAGCGAGCCCTCGGCAGGAATGATTTTGTGGACTGTGGACTGCGCTCTTGGCGGGGTAGCGGCAACACCCAGGGAGTAGAGATCAGCGTCAGAGGCTTGGGCAACCGGGTTATGCGGTATCAGGTTGTTAACTGCGCTCCGCATACTGCTCGGGCTAGGAGGGCGAGTAGAGCTGGATGATACTGGCGTGGGATAGAGCCCGGTCATGACCGAGTTGTTTGTGACGAAGCTATCCATGGACAAGTTGTCCATGCTCTGGGAACGTCGCTCGGCAAACCAGGGGTCGTTGGTCGTGGGGTTTAGTACGGGGGACCCATTGGTAGCTGATAGCTGGGGGGTAGTCGCACCAAGCACGGCTTCTGGCTGTTGGAAAGAAAGAGAAGTAGGAGCGAAAGGTGAGGGGACCCTGGACGTAACCTGCGTGGGACCGCCTTGGGAGGCCGTGTTTGGTGAAGTATCCAAGGGCGTCATGGTCAAGGCCTGGGGAACTCTGGTAGGGGTTGGGGTGCTCGGTTTCCTCTTCTTGGCTGGGCCTTGGGGCTCAAGCTCAGGAGCATCGTCCGCGGCCGAGGTGACTACCGTCTTGTGGTCGTCCGTTATCATGATCGAGCCGGACATGGCCTGCGCGACGACCTTGCCTTCCCAGTCCTTGAATGTGAAGATGACGTTGAAGCCCGTCTTCTCCTTCTGGTGACGGCAGTAGCATGCGAGTCGCATAGGAACCACAACTTGCACGGCGGTGGGACACTGTCGGAACAACTCGGCTTGCGACGGTCCTACCGAGTCCTTCTCCTTTTCGTTGCTGGGGGGCCGCCAATCTTTCATCTCCTTAGTGTTGAATATAATGATGCGGCGCGTTTCATCCATATGCCAGGATTTCTCCTCGTCAGACTTGCTATTGTTCTTCTTTCTTCCAGCTCGCTTGCGCTCCCTTTCAATACATTTCTTACAGATACGAATTTGGCAGCCATTTTGTGTTTCGTGCTCAGCCTCTTGAAGAGAAGGGAGATAGTCGTGAGGAACCGTGGCAGCTCTCTCCAGCGCCTTCCTTCTCAACTCAGGCTGGTCCATGGGTGTCGTACAAACCAAGCTGACATAAAGCTCTAACGTATCGGGGGACGGCTGCGGAAGGGGCTTGGCCCTGAGTTTAGGTTTGGAGATTGTGTGGGGAGGCAGATGTAACTTGGTGATGCCAAAGGGTAGATGAGACAGCGTCATGGTTACCGCCATCTGCGTCTCTACGCGTGATTTGAGCGTAGACTCCTGAATGTGCAGCCCAAACTCACCCGTGTAGGTAAACACGGGGCTGTCGGAAACTGGCATTTGTTGCATGTACTCTTGTTGCAAGGCTTGGTGCACTTGCTCTGGGGCAGGCGGCTGTCCGGCCTGCGCAAAGTCAGGCATGAAAAATGACCAATCTTGGCCTGCTTCGGAGGAAGGTCTGGAAGACATGACGCTGTTTGGTGATAGCTCTGGGCCGGCCGCTCTCTTTTGTCCTCTCGGAATGGCCATTGCTGGCTGCTGAGGTGAATGTTAGTCAATATCTTGCCAGAATGGCGTTTCTCCATGTTTCCCTCGTAGGTTTCCGCCACACACACACACACACACACACACACGAAAAGAAAGGGAAAATTAACACAAAAAATATCAACATACCGAACTCTCTTGCTGCTGGCCTGATTTCTCTGACCTCGGCGATTCCACATTCATCGGGCTATTGGTCGGAGTGGCGAAGGCTGCAGCCGAGGCGTCTGGGGCAGCACCGAAAACGAACGGCCGGTCCGTCACGGCTTCGTTAGGTCCGCCAAATTCGAACAGCTCCGATGCGCCAATATTCTCGGGGGCTCCGAGGAAGGTCGACGACTGCCCGGCGTGACCAAATGGAGAAATCTCAGTCTTACCAAAGGCGGCCATCAAATCAAGACGAGCATTCGCCTTCAATTCGAAGTTGGACGTATCTACAGCTTTGCCGGGCGCCCGGGGCGACGCGGAGCCGGAATCGTACTCTTCGTCAAAAAGAGAGCCGTTGGGGGAGTCGAGAAAGGGTCCGGTCGCGACAAGCCCCTGCGCGTCCCAAAAGTTTTTCATATGGTCGGTGTCGATGGCGCTCATGTGCTGTTGAAGATCGTCAGGGCTGAAGAAGGTGGTTGTGGCGGCAATCATGTCATCGGTCAAGTCTTGAATCTCGTCTCTGGGAATTGATTGTGCCCGTGCTATGAGTGGATCGCCAGCGCCGGATCGAAACGGACTCGGGGCCATGATTGGCAGGGGCGATCTGGTGTGCGCGTCTGCGTCACGGCGGCCGATGATGGAAGCGGCCGTCGACCAGGAGCCTGCTTTTGTCGCCTGTCTCGTCGTTTGTTTTTCTCTTCCCTTGTGTCAGCGGTGCGATTCGCAGATAAGCCGGTCGAGATAACGGTGTTGGGCTCGGAAGTGTGGGGGCGTGTCTTAGGAGTCGAAGACGTTGTGTGTGAGATGGAGGAGAAAAAAAGGGTCCTGTTTTTGGGGGGGATGCGAGCCGGTGGTAACAATCGTCGAGGCCGGCGAAAAGCGATTGTCCCAGATGCTAAAAGCCCTATAGGTGCATGTTTTCATGGCGCGGCGGCAGCGGCACGGAAAACAAGGCCTTGGAGCGAGAAGCAGGGGTGGTGGATGGGAGGTTGAGAGAGAGAAAACGGGAGAAGGGGAGAGAGGGTTTTTTTCTGGCGACCGGGCGGAAGTTGACGAACATCGGCGAAGCCAGCCGATAAACAGGCGGAGAGCAAGCACGCGCACACACTCACTCACTCACCTCAGATTTAGTGCAGGTCAGAAGACTCACTCGTCCGCGCGGTTGGGGCGCCTGGTCGGCTGCGACGTGAGAGGGAAAGGAGTGTATCGTGCCGTATGTCAATGCTGTTGGCGTCGTTTTTTGTGATTTTTGATGGTGCGCTGTAATGAGATGAGAATGCAGATGGTCGCAGTGTTGATGTGAGGAGACAAGACGGGATGCACGCCGCCGATGAGAATCCGAACGCTGTACTCGTACAGCACCTTAGCTCAGCAGTAAACAATCCACTGGGGCCCCGGTTATAGGCACGGTGTGGGCAGCGGGCAGTGCAAGCAGTGAGTGGGCAGCAGCTGCAGCATTGAGGCCGTTGCAGTCTCGAAAGAGAAACCGGTCGGGTGAAATCCAGGTACTTGACCCTGCCAGCGGTGATGCTCAACGGAAGCTTGGAGCTTGGAAGCTTATTCGTTGCACCGAGGCCACCTGGTATTGATACTTTGTACCGCGATGCGTCTGGCGGTCGGCCGCTGCGTTTCAGAAAACCTTAGCAGGAGATACCTGAGTCGCCACCAAAGCTGCTAGGCGCTGGAGGTAGCGGTCGAGGCCATCGGCGCCCTGAGGGCTGCGACAATACGCACACCCGCATGTGTGCGCCGCGCACCACCGGCAAGGCTCGCTCTCACTGGCCCGTCACAAGGCGCCAGTGTACATGATACCGTAGTACACCGTATGCAGGCTGTCTTGATAGGCACTGTGACCCATCCCCGAGAGACATACCCTTGCCCGTGCATATGCAGCCATTTTAAAGTCGTTCAACAGCATGTCGCTGACGCATACAGTGCCGTGGATTCGCCGCGCAACTCGTCCGTCGCTTCTGCCAAGGGTATCTGGCTGTGGCTTGGATTCCATTGGCCGACTTGGCAGCATCTCGTCGAACCCCCAAAAAGCTGCTACTGTACTCGGACAGTGCAAGACCCCATACTTGCTGACTCGGCAATCGTGGACTCTCTCGATTCAGCTCCGACTGTTGGTTGGGCAAGGCCGAAGCTGTGACTGTCAGTCAATCAACCTGTCTGTTGCGTTGCGTCCAACCCGCCATCATGAAGCCACGTGTTCTAGACGCTGTCCGGATCTATCTTTACCTACCGGGTTCAGATATCGTGACCACGAATACCGAGGCCAGAGCCATGACGACGATGCAATACGAGTAATCGTACACGGCCAATCCAATTACCCCCGGTCTCCAAGTACCTGCGCAAATGCAACCGGGCCCCCTTGTGAGCACGCGCCACGAGACCAATCCAATGCACTCTGTCATCATCGTTCTCCTCCCAACCTCCAGCCACACCAAACCAACCAAGTATACAGTATCTCGAGGCTTGAACCCGCGACAAACTGATGGACAGCAAGCCCCGACAACGCCACCGCAGCTAAAACCAGGCACATCGCTGCCAATCCTGCCTTTAGCCCTTGTTTTGACTTTTGACCGCCTGCTCGTTGGCCGTATCGCCAAATCCCCCCCTCAAGCGAACCCTCCCAGACACCATGAAAAGTGCTGCCCCATAAAATGCCACCTTTTTGGTCCGGAGCACTTCCTTCGTTCCTCCAGCGTGTCACCATTTCCAGATGTCAAATGGAAACGACGCGTGTTTCTTGTTTTTTTGCTGAGGCCGCCGTTTGTTGGGGATTTGGGAATTGACTTTGAACGAGCTGTAACGGCTGCTACCGAACCCCTTGCCTGCATGCAGTTAGGCTGGAGGATCATGACACACCTCGGAACGGCCTCACGGACGAAACACGGCTTCCGGTCAGCTTGTAAAGCTGGCCCTATTGGGTGTCATGTATTATGCTTGCTTGAATTTGTTTGACTATCTAAACTGATCAGATGAAAGAGGTCTTTGCTGCTGCCTATATACATCTATATATAAAGAAGCACGGTGAGGTGAAACCATCGGAGAAATAAGCCAGCCACCTGCACTTAAAATGAGTACGTTATAGAGAGTAAACGGACAACACGCATCAAGTCGTAAAGCCAGAGGCGTAAGCCATCATTCATGAGGCAGGGAAATAATCGAGGATAGACCCGGAAATAAGCATAATATAGGAACGCCGAGGAGAGTTGACTTTGGGGAGAAATATGCATATTTTTGGCTTCTACATGCTCAGCTCACCCAGCGCCATGTAGAAGCCAACACAACCCAGGAAGGCAGACCTGAAAGGCTTGATGGACGCCAGTTCGTCATGGGAGGGGATTGCTCCTCCTCGAGCCGTCAGTCCTCACTCGCCGAATCGGCTCGAGATCTTGCCAAACGATTCTCTGGGTATTTGCCTCAGACGGAGGCGTGGGCCGCGGCCATGCAGGGTCCAGAGTGCCGTCATTATTCGTACGAATAACGCTTCCGAGAACGGCAGCATTGTTCACCGGCACCCCCTCGGAATCCTTTGCAACAGAGAACCATCTGGACATGGTAGTAATGGCCGTGCCGTAGTACACATTGCCGCCGTTGCTGTTTTCGGTGAGGACACGAGAAATGGTTCGCGGGGCCAAGTATCCGATTTTGCCCAGCGGAATGCTCAAGCCATGGACAATCTAATAAACATTGGTGGTTAATGATTCCATGTTGACCCTTTGATTTCAGAAAATAAGGAACAACCTACAACGCTACAAACGACCAGGAACCAAACCACAATTCTCACCGTGGCGCCCAGTTCCCTGACGTCGCTTCTCGGGTTCCCCTCTTCATCACTCATGAATTTTTCAATGAATTCCAGGGTAATGAACAAATAAAACACCGCAGAGACTCCAATTGGGCCGAAGAAGCCGACAAAGAGTGCCTGGTGCGTGCCGGTAATTTGGTGAACCCATCTATGCAAACCAAAGATCCATGGGAGGCGCCTCACGAGCATCACCGCAATGCCGAGAGGTACGAGTCTGTAAATGGGAATGACAGTGTTGTGGCGAAACTCGGTCCAAGGAATATACGCTCCATACCACAGGAAGATGGTGACGTTGAGAAGCATGTCGATTGTAGGCTGCAGAGAGTCGTCCAGCGTCTCGAGACGAAACCAGTCGTCCCAAGTAAACGCATTTCCAGCAATAAAGCAGGCCAAAACGTCGTCTGTGCCAATGAGCCCGCACGTGCCGAGAACAAACAAGGCCAACGATATAGCAGACACGAGGAAGCTTTCGCGGTCGACGTAGTTGCGCTTCACAGCCCAGCGGAGGAGCTCCTTGGCCAGCAATCCCACTACCGCACCATAGACGATGCTCAAGAGGATCGTGTACGCCCAAGTGTACGTGAACCAAAGCCCCATGGCGTCTCCAGCTCCACCAGAGGTAGCCCCGGAGCCGACATACTTGATCAGATACAGGGCGAAGAAGAGGAACGGGTAGCCCAGCCCATCGTTGGCACCGGATTCGGCAACGATGAGGTTCTGCAGCTCCTTGGGGATGTTGTGATCTGCAAATTTCCCTTTAACAATAACAGCAGACAGCACAGGATCCGTGGGCGTGACGCAGGCACCCACAGCCAGAGCGTGCAAGAAACTTGGCATCCCAGCAAAGCCCCAGACAAGCAGGCTCGTGGCGAGCCACATGAAGACCATGCCAGGGCCGAGCAGCAACCCCAGAGACTTGCGCTCCCTCCACAGATACTTGCTTGGCAGCTGCACTCCTGCAAGGACTAGCTGCACACCCAGGACAAGCCGCGAGAAGTTGAGCGTGATGTCGCTCAGGCGCGTCTCCGCGCATTCGACGTCGATGCCGCCAGTCGTGGCACATTCAGTATAGGCATCCGGCCGAATGAATTTCGCCCCATGAGGCCCAAAAGCAACTCCAATTAGGAGAGAAATAACTGCATCACGCAATCAGCAACCCAATACAGACCAAATGGCGTGGGCGTTGGCGTGGGGAGGGGGAGGAGAGACATCAAATCAACGGCATGCCAGACAAATGAGACACCCTCTCCACCGGAATCTAAAAAGACAAGAAAAAGAAAACAAAGACAGCGAAAAGAAATAAACATGGGGCGAGGAGAGCAAGCACTCACGAGCTTCCGACAAGTAGTAATTCTCCTTCAAGAGATACGACACCAGCCCAAACAGCGAGATGAACCCCCCCAGGAACGCAACCACAATGTTGAAGTTGGACAGCGCCAGCGGAACGGCCCAGATGTTGGCCATTGTGACGCCTCAGCTAAATGTTAGCAACGCGAAGAGTGAGCAGCAATGGTGAAGGCAGCAACCGCCATTCTTTTTTTCGCCAAGGCGCGTCCCCCCTCAACCTCTCTTTATCAGAACTTTCCCCCCAGGATTGTCGCCCCCAAGGAGAAAGTCGGAAGAAGAGAATGCCGGCTCAAGTGAGACAAGAGAACAAAGTTCGGTATGGTAGAGTAGATGAAGAAGCCAAAGGCCCAATCAACGTCAAGAATCAATCTCGCCAATCTCTGCAAGTAGCAGCACACACAGCGGCAGAGAGTCAATACAAAGGAATCAATGGTTCAGAGTATCGGTCGGGAAAATCTCGAGATGACTCTTGGCGACAATGTCGGTAAGTGGCGTTTTTGCCCAGTCAGCCCAGAAATAGATTCTCCACCACCAAGACACCTTGGTTTCCCGGTCCAAAGATTTTTCGTCACAATCCCTGTAGAGCAGCCACAAATCCTACTCTAACGCTTGAATATCTAGCAGTTATGTAAAAAAAAAAAAAAAAAAAAAAAAAAATGTACATGTTATCTCGAGAGTCATCCTGACTTGGGCAGAGTCGCATCCAGGGCTTATCTAATTTGATTCCCCTCACCTTCCTACTGTTCTCTTTGAAATCTGGGTATTTATTACAAGCACAGGCTGGGAGAAACTGCAGCGGCGAGAGCAGACATAAAACAGCGAAGCTCCAGGTATCAATTCACGACCCTCATCAGTTAATATGTGAATTACCCTACAAGTTCACAAATCCCTCCAGTTGCCGTTACAATCATTAATTCTCATGCCCAACTCCGTGGTATGAATGCTTTTCCCAAAACACCTTCGTATCTTCTCCGCAGTCTGTATGTTGTAATCGCACTGCCGGAAACAATGAGGAGGGAAAGTGAGGAAAGGGCCCCCAAAAATCATTACCCTCATATCTATCCGTCGTATGTAAGGGGCCATATACCGCCGATCTCAGGGAAGATTGGCGCCTCTAACAGCCAACCGGTCTGCTGCAATATTGCCAACATTTGTGGCATGGCCCTTTACCCATTGGAAGTAGGTTCGGCCACCCGCCTTGCTTCGCTCATCCATCTTGTCGAGGACGGCCCGTATGATGTCTTGATTCTTTACTTTTTCGCCGTTGGCTGTCAGCCAGTTCTTGCGCTTCCACCCGGCCGCCCATTCATTTACACATTTGATCGAATACTGGCTGTCGCTGTGGATACGGACATGCTGTTCCAACGGCGCAATCTCCAAGGCGCGCTGCATGGCCATGAGTTCCGCTCGCTGGTTCGTTTGTGGCTCGCCAGGTAATCTTTCCGCCAGGTTGCGAGGATCCTTGTCTCCGAAGTAGACGCCCAAACCGGCGCGGGAGCCGGCGGTGCCATTGGCCAGGCTGCTTCCGTCTGTCCAAATGTCGAGAACGTCTTCCGCGGGCTTCTTCGCGGCCACTTGCTGAATGGGAGTGAACTTCTTGATGGTGACGGGCTCTTCTTCAGCCTCCACCTTCTGCACAGGCTCTGGCACCTTCTCTCCCAAAGCCTCTATGGCCTCCCGATTACCGTATTGTCGGATGTATGCGACGGCCTCGGCGCGGGTTCCAAAGCGCTTGTACTTGGGGCCCTTGATGCCGGTGATGGATTTTGAAGCTTCGGACCAGTCCGTAAAGATGCCCGTGGGGTTGCCGACTGCGACGGCATAGAATTTCGCGGGCTCATCAGCCACAGCAACTTTTTTCCCGGCGGCAAACGCTTCGGCATCGTCTCTAGAAAGGAAGGATTTGACTATAGATTGACAGCAGAGAAAATGATTAGAACCACTGAATCGCCCAAGGGGAAGGCTTCGCCAGCTCGCCGGAGAAATGACGACTCACAAATGGCGCCCTTGAAGCCAGCCGTCTGCGCTTGGCATTCCGAGTATGTCAGGTACACGCCGGGGACAAAGCCCGCCTGCACGGCATAGTATTTTTGCATATTGTCCGTCTTCCTCTTCTTCGAAAGGTTCGGCGCCGCAGCGCTGGTCGAAGCTGGTCGTTTGTTGTTGCTGCCCATGGTCTTGTCGAGCGTCGTGTACGTTATAAAGCCAAACCTGAAAACAGACGAGCCGGGGGCCAGGTCATAATATTCTCGCGCCAGGCTCGGCGCTGCGGTGCGAGCTCGGAAAAGGCTTGATCGCAGCCTGGTCACGGCCAGCCGCACCACACAGCGGCGTCGGGAGAGGATCGTGTCGGGGCCAAACTCGGAGCGTGCCGCGCTTATGCCGTTGGCGATGCTGTTCGCACAAGGCTGAGGGCGAAGGCGCATCAACTTCACATCAATGGCATGGCGATGAGCCAACGAGGAAGAGGCCGGCCGGGCTTTTGCAGCTGAGCGGGCGCTCGGACAGTCGGTGCTTTACGAGACTTTGCGGGAGCTGGCCGAGGAGAGACGAAAAAGATGCCAGGCGAAGAAGCGAAGGCGAAAGGGCGAAAGGGGGGGGGGGGGGGGGGGGGTTCTGCCCTTGGAGAGCAAGGCAGAGCAGCCGCGTGATTCGCGCAAACTTTAGGAGGGGCAGCTGCCCGCTTTCCCGCCTGTGGAGACGCCGGGGTCTGTTGCATTTGCCGCGATGCGACCTCAGCAGAGTGAGGCGCCGGATCCCTGTGATGTCGGTGGTTAGGGCAGCTTTGGGGCATTTCTGCCGCCCAGCCCTCCAAGCGTATAGTAGGTACTGTACAAGTAGCTCTGCTTCGTATCAACGTTGGTGATGAGGAGCGTCAGAGATGTGATATGTGAGGCCGTTGCTGTTGTAAGGCGTGTATTGTATGATGGAACCTTAGTACCTGCCTGTACTTACCCTGTAATGAATGCCTGGAAGCGATAAATGTAAAAACCCCAGTGCAAATCAGTCAAAGTCAAAGCGAGTCTCAGCAAGCCATCGCATCTCTCCATTTTCCACATCATCATAGAAATAGATACCCTTTTTGTTTTATTGCTCCTTTAATGAGCTAAGCTATTGCTAATACACATCTTTGCCAATGCCAGTTCAGCCATCCGTTCGCCGTTCCATGCCGTACTAAAAAATCTCACAATCTTTCCACAAAGTAATCTGATACCTCGTAATTCGTACCGAGTCCCTTCAGCGAACAGAGGATTATCTAACCCCTCTCCCTTTCCTTGCAACACTCTTCTCGGTCGTCGCCAACAGCGTCGTAGCAATGTGCATTCTCCACGATAAATTACTCGTATAAACAGACGCAACAGGATGCAGCAACAGCGCGTTATACTTTTGCCAAAACCATACCACGTAGATCGGGCGTTCCCCGGCCCGGAGGACCCCATCGCCCTGCACTGCTCCAGCCGGTGAGGGCAGTGTCGAGTCTCGTATCGTCCTCGGAGGTGGTAATCCTAAACGTGAGTGGTTGGGTCAACAGAGGGGAGGTCAGGTACGCCGTCACTCTCCCACTCCCAGGCCAGCAAGCTCCAGTTGAGCTCTCGTCTCCAGAAAAGACCCAATCCTCGTCCACCTCCATCAGGACGATCATCTGAGCTCAGGCCGCCTGATCGAGGCATATGGTTGCAGAATACCGCCTTTCCCATGCGCGAGTGGAGCACACCCATGGAGCACGCTACGCATGGTTCGTGAGTAACGTAGAGCTCTAGTCCGTGGCATAGGTAGCCGTCTCTGTTTGGGTGTTCTTGCTTGTAACACTCTCTTTCCAGCTCAATCAAGGGCACGTCCTGGAAGGCGTCAAAGTCCAAATTGGCGGACCCCATCGGTTGTTCGGTAGCCAATCGCTCGTACCGGACGAGTTTCTGGGCCACCATGCTAATAGCGCGCAGGACGCAGTGTGACATGGGATTGTTGCCACCCATGATTAAGGCACCCCCTTGATGGTACCTGGCATCTCCAGCAAGTCCAACGAGCTCTGTGCCGTATTCGCTCCTCTGGACAATTACGGCACCCATGGCCTCTCCAATACCTGCTTCCTTGGCCTGGAGAGCGACGCGATGGGCTAATGCCATCCAGATTGCCGTGTCATGCTTGATGTCGTCGGTGCCACGGGCCACCATGCCTGGGTGTGGTCCCAGAGGGTTGTTCTTGCGATAGACAGTTGGCCAGAACTGTGAGGACCACATGGCGGCCTGGACCTGGGAGGTCGGTGCCAGCAGTGGAACTGGAATGAGGCTTACGAAGGGTTCCTTCTCGATTCCTTCCACGCCAGATAGCAGCTCAATGAGCTCCTCTTGGGAAAAGTCCTTGGCCTCTCCTACGATGATGTATATCCAGGTAGATTTTGCAGTGTGAATCTGCCGTCCAACTGGCGTGTCATTCATCAACTGCGTCTTGAGATGAGCAGGGAGATCTGACGGCTTTGCGCATCGACGAAGGTGCGGTAAGGTATTAGCGTTACCGTCAGGACACATGTCGCGCAGGAGTCTAAAGGCTGGTTAGTATACGGTAGATGGCGAGCACAGAGATGAAAACTTGCGTGATAACGTCATTGGCGGACTTGGTTGGAGCTCTTGTAATGTACGCCTGCACAATGGTGTGATCTTGGCGAACCTCCTGGGTCGTTTTCAGAGGGATGAGCACGCCCCGAGGCAGGTTCTGAGCTCGAAGATCATCAATCAATGGATTCGGCGAGGCGCCTCTGAATTGACGGGGTTCTTTGATCTCAAGGTCGAGCCCTGCCTCGCCATTTCCTTCATAATAGTCCATTTCGACAGCCATCATGATCTGTCGTGCTTGGGTTCGTCCTCGTCAAGGAAGAGGAGATGGCTCTCAGCTTGGATAGATCCAAGGCAAAGGGTTGAATTCAGCTGACGAGGACTTCTCTGCAAGAAAGAGAGAGAGAGAGAGAGAGTTCGAATTACCGGTGGACACAAACTATCCTATCTTCGCAATTCCAGATGCCTTGGTGGTGATGAAGGGGATATAAAATAGGAAACCCTTTGATGGCAAACGATGCGTCAAAAGAAGATAAGAGTGGCCTGAATGCGTTACTGGGGGGATGGTTTGGACCAGCCCACGTGAAAAAAGCAACTGGCAGCCAGCTGTGCTATCGGTTGCGATTTCTGATAGGATGGAAGACTTGGAGGCCTGGAGACTTGGAGCAGAAACGAGGGGAAGGTGCTAGTAATTTCAGAAGAACATAAAATGGCTAGGTGCTGCTCTGGTGAGGTCGAGCCTCGTTTGCCTAGGCGACGGCGACGGTTGTTGTTTGGTTGGCCAGGAAGAGGCGATCTGCTAAACGTGACTTGAAGAGGCACAGAAGCTCTAACAGCCGGGGTAAGGTTGCCCTGAAAGTACCTTTTAACCCAGGCTCTAAAGAGCTACTGTCCAAAGACACTAAGAGAGAGCGAAAAGGCGAGTGAGTTCTCCTGCCACTTGGGGCTGTTGTTGAAGGAAGCTCGCTTGGGAATTTTGTCAGAAATATAGCGAACAAACAAATTTCTTTTGGTGAGATGACGATGGCAAATTGCAAGGTGATGACCGGATGATAACAGGACAACTTGACAAGAAAAAATTAGAATACAATAGCTTACCAGAGTAGCTTTTGGAAATTGTGCGTTTGATATGGCCAAGGCTGAACCGGATTGAAGATGTTCGAATTCTGAGCATTTCAGGTGAGAAGCCGGTGAGAATTGCAGGAAGCTGAAGAAAAGTGGAGACCAGACGGGAAAGCGCAGGCGCTGGTTGGCCATGAGATCGGCAGGCACAGCGCCCCACCTAAAATCTTCACTTGCATCTCAGATACAGAGTCACGGCGAGTTTCACATGGAAAGACAGCGTTGTTTGCTTGTTTTTGTTTTTTTGTGGACAATGGCATCAAAGAGAAAAATATGTCTTTAGAGATGACCTGTTCATACCTAGTGTGCTGAATCAGAATTCAATAATGACCATAAAATGTGGCGAGTGTCAAGAGAGCTTGGTGACCTTGGAACTTGTAGCCCAAATTCTAGAAGTGCTTGAGGCGCTATGGCTGCGGGTGGTTCCCTCTAAAACACCCTCCAGTGATATTTCTCATGCTGCTTAGGAACCATGTTCCAAATCTTGGTACCTACCTCCTATCCAAGACACCATCATCAACCAAATGTTGTTCCTCCATCCAACGTTGCTGCGAGTCCCAAAATCCGGCTTCCGATTTACTTGGCGCATCAACTACAAATTAAGCATCAGTTGCTAGCACAGAAGTACGACTACTCCGCACCAACTAGCCTGGGGAACAGGCTCCATGCAACTCCAACCGCTGTTCCCCATGGTTTCCAACACTTTGTTCCTCCAAGCTGGCACCAACGTTTAATATCGGGCGACGCCACCGACGCTGCATGCTGCGCTTTCGGAACCGTTCTCCCCTGTCAGCCTTGCACCGATCGTCTTGCTCGAACTGTGATTTCAACGCAGGAACGGCAAATGGTTCGTTGAATTCGGGGCTACTGTAGCTGGCGTCACGCCCCCCCACGCCCAAAGCCTGGCCTAGGAGGAGCAAGACGAGCTACTCCGTCGAGGACCCCCATTTTGTATCTTGCAAATACGCACTTGTCAGAGGAATCCCTTATCCGCCCTCCGTTTGGGTAACACGCATGCTCTAGATCGTCGTTTCTCGTTCTTTGCGAGTCCTAGTATTACGCGGGGTATGATGGGGGGAAACGAGTGTCTTGGTGGTGCTACTAACACCATTACTATTACGAGTTACAGATACTACCTTACCTGTACGTACAAGTACGACTCATACAGGTCTTTTTACTGGGTACTAATGAAAAACAGGCGATTTTTGCATTGTTGCGGAGTTCTCTGCGTGAGAATGAGAGAGGCGAGCAGGAAGAAGAGACATGGACCAAGCTGAGTGCAGCATTTAGTTTTGTGGTCCCTCAAGCTCAAGCCCACCGAGATCGTTGGCTTGACGATCAGGGTCTTGCGCTCATTTTACGTTGCGCATCTGGCGCTTGGTGTGGATTTCCCAAGCCATTTCAGTCATCAAGCCCACCTAGCTGCAAATGCTCCGGAGACGCTCTGTTCTTGTGTCCTCGGAGCCCGAAGCCATCACTTGCACTAATGTTACAGCTCATTATTCCATTTTGTCGGTCATGCTAGCTTTGCCGACTCTGGCCCTTTGGGGAAGCTTGCGAAGCCTGCGAAGCCTCGTACCAACAAGGATCATCCATTGCTCAGCATGCAAACCGGGCCGGAAACACCGAGCACCTCTACAGCAGCTTGGCATCCAAAATCCACCGGAAGGGTGCGATACACGGCGAGTAGCATACGAGGCATATGAGAGGACGCAAGCACAGGCTTGTTTTAAAGGCACAGAGTTCCGCTTCCATTATCGTGTCTGGGCGACGTGGACTAAGTGGTGAGATTGGTCGACAGAGATGAGCTGCGGTAGCGTGTTCTGCCACCGACACCGAAATAAGCTTGGGCGTGAGGCTCGTCTTTGACAGACGATAGACCATGAGATTTTTTGGCTCGCTCACTGAAACTGGCCCAACCCTGGGGGGCCTTGGAGGGCCCGGGAGAAACTCCCCGTGGGCCGCGCCAGCTTCAACGAAGGTGGGCATAATCGCCGGATCCTGCTGGATTCATCAACGCAGCATACGAGTATACAGGACGAGCATGAGCATGAGCACGAGCACAAACCATCCCCCATATCCGGTCGTTTGTTGCTCGCGCGCGCGCGCGCTCGTCAGCTGGGCATATGATGATGCGCCGTTGAATAGCATGGCGTAGCGATCGATCTGAGCAAGTGGTACAGCACAGCATGGGGGCTGGAATGGCTATCATTTCTCGCCTGGCACGACAGCGCAGCAACGATGCTGTCATCTCTACGGAGTGCCTGCCATCAAGATGCCCACGTTGTCTCATGACTGGCAAACGCAGATCCTTCAAGCACCGCACTGCCATTGGGCGTGGACCAAAAAGGGGGCGACCACCACCAGCCTTGGTTATCTGTCTGCCTCAGCATCTGCCAAGAAATGGTAAGATATGCGATATGCCCTCCGTTTGGGCCGTCAAGCTTGGAGCAGCGACAATGTCTTGGGATATTACCATGGCGTGAAACCATCTGACAAACAGCTGGTGCTGAATGGGGCAAAAGGGGCGCGTAAATTAAGCATACGCAGCCATGTCTCTCTGACTTGTCTCTGAGCCCCCTTCATCTGCGCACGCTGCTTCTGTTCGGGTACTACCTAACTGTGCCACCAGGTCTCACCTTAATCTCAACCTCTTGGCTTGTTAAGGCCATCACTTGTCTCAGCCGTGGCCTTGGCCTGTACTGTACTGTACGGTACTGTACGAGTACGGTTCAGGCTCAGGGCCGTACTCGTATGGGCCTGAGATTACGTTGGATCCATGCGCATCGATGTGAGAGGCGAGGGTGCGCTACTGATTCAATAGATGGATGAAGCCCCTGTAAACACCATTCGCCTCACTACGAAGCACTAAGACGTCAAGACATGTTGGTAAGGACACCAAGTTATTGGGTGCGTGGACGGCCGCGTACCGGTACTTTTATGGAGCAGTGCTCCGTCCACACACTTTTGCACACAGTCGAGCCGTTTCGCTTCCCCCCTGGTCTTGTATGACGTCGGCCGGGTGCTAACGATGCCGTGCCTCTCTCAAAAGCAGGCTCAACACTTCATGCTTTTTCGGTGCATGTTGTTGGGCCGCTTACAGAGCGAGACGGTACAGGAGGACGCAAAGAGTGTCCAACATGGCCAAGGAATCAGGAAACCGGGTGAGGCCGGCGCGGCCATCTTGACACGACTGCTGGGTAATATCGTGGGAGAAGACAAGAATAACGAGCATGGGTAGCACTCGACATGAATTACATCGGGTGTCGTGACGAGCCGTTAGTTCTGGGTGGTGGTGGTTATTATCAGATTTCCGTTTTTGCAGCATGCACGCAAATTCCACGCATGCCCAAAGATTATTACGCGAAGAGGAAGGGTAATGGCCAGCCTGCCAATCATAGCGCCCGAGTCGCATCAAAGCGCCCTTTGCGAGCTGGGCCTTGATCCGTGATGTCCGATGCTACTACGCGAAGAAAGACGGTCCGCTATCGGCGACACGGGAGAGATGAGGGGCTTTGGGTGTTGAGCAAGTCCATTGACAACCCGTGAGACATGGGGTTTCGCCAGTTCCAAATGGTTCCGCCAAGTACGAAGTACAGAGTAATCACTGCTGCCTTACAGGGAGGACGAGATTACGGCCAACGGTGTGCCCTTGCGCCTTGGGATGAGCTACCATGGATTGGAGAGATGTGAGCTTGGGAGGATCGAGACAACCACAGGGCCCGTGGGGGGAATTGATGGTGATTGGCCCAAAGTATTTCAAACCAGCTAGGAAGCGGTTGAACAACCAAATTAGCACGTGTCAAGTACAGAGGCCACCGCGGGTTGTTGAGCTGGGGATGAGATATGCACACCCTCCCGGAGACAAGCTTGGGACACCCTCTTGGTGACTCCAATGGAACGGCCAAATTCCTTGCTCCTGCTGGAGCAGCCTTTTTGGGGGGAAGCCTTTGCGTTGCCGCTGTTGTCACTGCTGCAGAACGATGAAATGGGAACGTGAGAGTGGCGAAGCCAAGAAGAGACGGAAAGGGGATCATCGCTGGTGTCCATCCATCGCCATCATCTGCCGCGAGCTGCATCATTTCGCATGCCTTGGTCCTGTCACGCAGCCCACATCGGTGAGCGCAAGTTACGTAGTTGCACAAGTCCACTGGCGAGGCTTGA